GAGACCTGGGAACCTAAGGCCATGGATGGACAGAAAATGGGCTGGACAGAACCACATGAGGCCTTAGACCTATAGAGGATGGGGCATGTGTGGGATGTGTTGGGGTAAGGCTTGCAGACCCACTGACTGTACTGAATCGCTCAAGTAAGTGGAAAAGTTCCTAGCAAAAAATACAGATCTGTTTTTGTTTTCCAGAACTGGCATCCCTATTAAAGTGGAAAAGAAAAGTTCCATTTTTACATTTTTGTGCAGTTTTTTGAGATCATAAAGCCCAGAGCGCAACTTGGAGATCACGTTGTTATCTAACTCCTTGTTCCTTTTTTAAGATGAGGTCCAGTGAAGTACTGAGAGCAACGACAACTGGTAGGTCCCATGGGGTTACTGCTGTCATTGTCAGAAAAAACTTCCAAGGGAAGACCACTATAAACAGTGGTCATCCAGAACCAATAGAAGCCTTCATTCATCTAGTAAATATTTGAGTGCTACTAACAACAACAACAACAACAACTATGTGTGGAGTCCTGGTAAGCACTGGACTGGTAACCACAAGGTCCATGGTTCAAACCCACCAGCCACTCCTCAGAAATCCTATTTGGGATTGCTATGAGTTGGAATTGACTCAGTGGCACTTCACAATAACAACAGTGTGCTGGCTGCTATGTGATCTACTTCCAAAAAACCAGCCATTGAAAATCCTATGGTGCAGTTAGACTCTGACACACATGAAGCACCATGAGTGGGAATCAACTCCAAGGCATCAGGTATGTGCTGGCAGTGGTGAGTGAAAGGGTAGTAAGAAAGATTCTCTTATTTTGAGGGCCTTGTTGTCTAATGGAGAACATAGGTAAGTAATCATTTATTCATGATGACATGTATTAAGGAAACTAGCAAGGTGGTTACAGGACATTATGAGAAGTGTCCTTGTATGGCACTGTGGGTTAATGCGCTGGACTGCAAGGTCAGTTTGAACTGCAAGGTCAGTGGGTCAAGTTCACCAGTTGCTCCTCAGAAACCCTATACAGGGTCAGTATGGGTCAGAACCGACTCGCCGGCACTTAACAACAACAACAACATTAAATGAGAGTGTAGTGAATTATTTAATATGTTTCTTCCAGCTTTACTCTGTAATTCCACCATGTGTCTGGCTAAGAGAAGGTGGGCGAAGACGCTGACAGGATTTTCTAATTCAGCATGAGTAGTTAACAGGGTTAACTGTAATTAGAAAAACCTAGAACTCTATTGTTGTTGTTGTTAAGTGCCATCGAGTTGATTCCGACACATAGCAACCCTGTATAGGGTTTCCAATGAGCAGCTGGTGAGCTTGAACCACCGACCTTGCAGTTCAAACAGCTTTACAGTCTGACTCATTAGCCCACAGTGCCACACCAGGACTCCTAGAACAGTATATTGTTGTTGTGTTGTTGTTAAGTGCCATTGAGTCGATTCTGACCCATAGTGACCCTGTATAGGGTTTCCAAGGAGCAGCTGGTGAGCTTGAACCGCCGACCTTGTAGTTCAAACGGCTTTGCAGTCTGATGCATTAACCCACAGAGCCACATCAGGACTCCTAGAACAATATGTTGTGGTTGTGAAGTGACGTCGAGTTGGTTCCAACCCAGAGCGACCCTGTATATATAAGGTGTATAAAATGCGTTATGTCAGAAGCAGGAAGCAGGGAATCCCACTAACAGCAAAAAGGAAGAGTCCAGAGTGGAGGCCTTCCTTTGAGCCCTGAGATTTCTTCACTGACCCTCTTAGACACCGGAGGAGTAACAGAGGATCAGCAGAATGAAAAACCAGAGCAGGAGGCGGAATGGTGGGGTTCCCAGCCCCCAGAGCAAGTAAAGCTGAGTGACTTTGGGCAGGAGACTTGCTTGCAGAGTGGGGTGCCTTCAAGTGCTTAATAGGGAGGGGCTAGGTTTGCTGACCCAAGAAGTACCTTCAGACTTTCAGTGGAGTTGTATGTACTGTGGGCATTTATCAGCAGCCCTCAAAGAACTCTTATCATTGCCTGGGCAGAGAGAGGCCTGACTGTGGGCACAGCTGAGGTAAGGCCATCCTGACTGCAACAATAGTGGCCTGAGTATTTCTGACCCTGCACTGTAAGCTGTTTGCTTCCATAATAAGCCCCATAACTGAGTCTGGTGTCTAAGTTCTGTGTAATCATTGCAATGAATTATCAAACCCAACTGAATAGAGAATGCTGTGGGATGAATGGGTCGTGCCACATTTTTTTGCAGGGAGTGCTAAGGAAGGACACAACCTCTCCAAAGGACTTTTGGGGAGAGCTTTGAAATATGTTTGGGAATTAACCAGGTGAATGAGAGTGGAAGGAAGTTCCCCTTAAGGAAAAGTTGAGTATCTGAGAGAGAGGAGTCATTTCTTCAGTGTGTCTGCAGGGTGAGAGATGAAGCTGAAAGTGGTTCGGAATATAGAGTTTTCAATGAATAAATGGTGGATATGAATTTTGTCTTATTTTTTTGTTGTTGGTAGTGTTATTAACAACTGTAATTGCATTTCAATGTATTCTGTTGAGAGAAAATATAATTTCATTCTTTGTTCTGTTTGGCTACATACAAGGAGACTTCAAAAACTTCATGGAAAATGGAATAAAAAGATAATGGGTTTTCTCCATAAACTTTCTGAAGCCCTCTCATATTTATTTTAATAATTGTTATCCTTAAACAGAGGTAAATGTCAGACACAATTTAAACAATTATAAATAAATTCATTACAGTCTGATCATAAATCATGTAATGATACTTACTTTTTTAGTTGATATACAGTTAGGGGACTGTTGTTGTTGTGTGCCATCGAGTCAGTTTGGACTCATATAGACGCCGTATAGGGCTTCCAAGAGCGGCTGATGGGTTTGAACTGCTGAACTTTCTGTTACCAATCCAGTGCTTAGCCTACACACCACACCAGGATGATCAAGGGGAGTGTGGTGGTGGTGGTTATGTGCTGTGGAGTCAGTTCTGACTCATAGCGACCCTGTACAGGGTTTCCAAGGCTGTAAATCTTTAAGGGAGAAGAAAGCCTCATCTTTCTCCCGAGGAACAGCTGGTAGTTTCGAACTGCTGACGTTGTGGTTCATAGGAAGTGCTAAATACCTGAAGACAAATCGATTCCTTCTCCTAGAGGTGAGTTTATTCTTCTTTGAAATCTAGACTTTGTGTCCATAAATAGTTTGGGAGGAAGGAAGTGGTATAGAAGTAGCTCCAGAAGAAACCGTTCAGTATGGGTAAACTTAACCTTGATTTTTCTTTTACCTGTTTTCTCTGAACTCTAGAGGCTCCTTTGCAAGGCTCAAATTGCAATATGGTACCTGACAGTTATTAGCAGGATCAGCAGTGAAGGGAATCACTGGAACCTCAGCAGGGTGGTCAGTAATCAAAGGTCTGTCCCTTTATGGGGCATATAAAATATGTAAACACCAAGCTTACCAGAAGACAACACTGTAGGGAGGACTGCTAACTGACAACAAATCAGTTCTATCCTGAAAACCTTCCAAGGCTTTATGCACTGACTTTCCTGCATCAACTTTGGGCATCAAAACATACTCCATTTTCTCTAACTATCTTGACAAATTCTGGACTCTGAAAAAGTTCTTTTGCATCAACTAAGCAAATCATCATTTATTAGTAACTTTAATTAATTTCCAGACCTGTTAGATGACTTTCATTTTTCTTTGTCCTGGATGTTTTTAAAGGACAGGTAAAAATATCTGTTCTCAGACTTATAGGAGACAAAAATAATTGCTGTGAAGGGAACTCTTGATTTAGCTAAAGTATCATTTTAGAAAATTTATACAAAATGGAAATACAGTATTGTAATCTGATAAATTTACTGTGAAACTGTAAGTTTTTTGTGCTGTAACAGTTTTTATGCAGTGAGAGTTTTTTTTAAAAAAAACAACAACACAGGTAAACATGATAAAGTGGGAAAGTTCAGTGAAGAAGCAGACAATAGCGCCATACTTTTTCTGAGACCTGAGCATTCCCCCTGTTTTTGTACAGTTGACAAGAAAACTACTAAACACTATTTCTCCTGCAAAATAGGATGTAAAGAAACGACTTGTCAGATGAATAAGGAACCCTGGTGGCGTAGTGGGCTAAGTGTTGGGCTGCTAACCACAAGGTTGGTGGTTCAAACCCACCAGCCACTCCATGGAAGAAAGATGAAGCTGTCTGTCTTCTGTAAAGATTTAGTTCTAAAAACCCTAAGGAGCAGTTCGACTTTGTCCGAGAGGATCACTGTAAGTTGGAACTGATTCGATAGCAGATGGCTTAGTTTTTGTTTTTTTGTCAGCTGAGTAAGTCAAGAGATTGACACCTTCTTATTCTCTTGGTTGTTCATTGCTAATAACCTTTTGACTAATTTCTGTTACACATGTCCTAACTGGCACTTTAGGATAAGCATTAGGCTGCTTACTTCAAGTTTGGAGGTTCAAACCCACTAGCTGCTCCTCAGAAATCTTATATAGTATTGCGGTGTGTCAGAACTGACTCAATGGCACTTAACAACAAGAGCAACACTGTAATAAATGCTTTGTATAATTTAATTAATCATCACAACTATAAAAATGGCCACTATTATTATTCCATGCTCATTTTACAGATGAAGGAATTAAGACTCAGAGAGGTCAAGTAACTTTTTCCAGGTCACACAGTAAGTTGTGAGCCATAAGTGAAACCCTGTCTTTCTGATTCCAAAACCTGTCTTTATATAATGGCAAAGCTGAGTTAATTCAGAGGAAAAATTGCTACATCTGGTATTACAAATACCTTATGCAATTCTAAACTATTTTCCTTTAGGCATTTTCTAGTCCCCCTCTTCCCAACAGCAGTCTATTTCTTACTTGAAGACGAAGGAAATAGCAGACAGGGTAGCAACACAAGCATGTTTTCAGACCATCCTATTTCAAGGGTATCCCACTTTGTTAATGTATATCTACAAAGAATCAACAATGTGCTCAGCCCTCATTTAACTCAACTTACTCCATGGAATCAATGAGTTTTTTTGGCTCCACAGGACATGAATAGATCACTTCATCAATGTGTTTCAGGTTACAATTTGCATAGGCAGTAGACATGTGGATAAAGGCTTCCAACTTCGTCATCTTATTGGCCATAAGCAAGAGCTGGTGGGTGGCAGTGACGTTAAGCTGCACGGCATGTCTAGAGAAGAATCATCAGAAAGAAATGCAGTGAGGTAGTTCAGCATCCCACTTTGCTAGAGTTGCATCTACTCCAGTAACTATTGTTATCTATTGAGGTCAAAATCTCCTAAATTTTAGTGACTCGAAACACAGCTATATAAGCATAATATGTGATGACAATGAAGCAGGTCATACATGTTTTATCCAATATCAGGAGCTCTATTAATTTAATCTTAATTCAATAGGAAAACAACTATATGATCACATATATGTATTTGGAAAAGTTATTTAATGACACTGAATATTTATTGCCAACTTAAAGAGGCCAATGAGTACCATTAAAAATACTTCATGCTTTGTTAAAGATAAATGGTTAATATCCTGAATGTTCCAAGTCTTCAATAAGAAAAAGAATGTTTCAATAGAATAATAGGTAAAAAACACAAAGAAGCATTTTAACAGAGCAAAATGTCACTATATATTTAACATAGTCAAACTTTCTGAGCATTAAAGAAAAAATTAAGATGTTAATTTAATCATGTTAAAAAAAAGAAACTGGGTACATCTGGTATATCATAGCTGATAATTCTACTTTTGGGGATTTACTCAAAGGAGAGCACACGGATACATAAAAATATGTATGCAACAGGTATCCATTAGAGTTGTTTATAATAGCGAAAAATTAGAACATAAATATCCATCCAAATAGATCTGGTTGAATATATGTGTCGGAACCAACTCGTCGGCACTTAGCAACATATATATGAATGCATGCAGTCATTATAAATTGTGATAGGATATTGACTGATAATCAAAGCTATCTAGAAATATAATTACAGCAGTTGCAAAACATCATTCTCAATATGATGCCATTAATTGGTATGCTGCTGTAGGATAAGCATTGCACTGCTAAACATTAGGTCGGTGGTTCAAACCCACCAGAAGCTCCTCAGAAACCCTATATAGGATTGCTATGAGTTGGAACCTACTTGATGATACTCAACAACAACAATGTATCTATATTATTGTTGTTGTTGTTATGTGCCGTGGAGTCAGTTCCAACTCATAACGACTCTGTACAGGGACACATAAACAAAAATCAAGATTGGAATGTTCTCTACAATATTAATGACCAACTCTGGATGGTGGAATTTTATAGAAGCTTTATTTTATCCACTGAGAATGTATCATTAATTTACAGAATCATTAAAAATAAGAACAAAACCCTACACATGCATGTGTGTGCACACGTCTGCACACAGGCCCTGACGAGGAGGAGGGAAGGTACCTGAGATGGTCATCAAAGCGTACAGTGGCAGCACAGTGGAAGACAATGTTTGTGCAGGACAGAAGCTCCTGTATGTCCTCCTTGCTGATGGCCAAGTCGTTCTGATTGAGGTCTGCATAAATAGCCCTGATCTTCTCATGCACATCGGGGCAAACTTCTTTGACTTTTTCAAACAACTGGAACATAAATATACATCAGTATATGAAGATTATCATCAAGAAGTTCCTTTTTGAATTTCATTATAGTCTCAAAAACAGGCTTTAGTTGTATTTATAGTATCCAAAGAAGGCATAGTACTCATAGCCATCTGCTTTATTCTATGCAATTCAAAGCCAGTTTAGCATAATTGCGGCTCTTCTTAACCTGATTAATATTTGAAAATGTCCCTTCCAATAGGCATGCATTTCAAAGCTTTCCTGAGGAGTGGCAGTCAGTCATCCACATCTTCCTATTGCTCCTTTATTACCTTTAAGGCCACTTTGTGTTGCCATGTGGTGATACTTTAAATTCTTGGCTGGGAAATGATTGTTTTCACTGCTAAATTACCTGACTACACAGCCTTTGCAAATTACCAGCCTTTACAAACAGTTCTCATGCTCTCTAGTTCTAAACAGTGTGGTTCACTGACCCAGATTAACAAGCAGCACAGACATAATTGGAAAATAACAAATCATGCAAATGTGTAATAGGCAAAAACATTTTTTTAATTTGATGTAATCTCAGTTATTGGCTAATAAGAGAATAACATGAACTCATGCACTTTTTATGGGATTCTAATGGACTTTTTAATATTCTAATTTATTTGTAAAGAAACGGGAAGAACACTGGATGTTTTAGCTTCTATTATAATTATTGAGATGAAACATATTCTTTTCTTCTCCCTCTACACAGAAATTCTTAAACTGGTATTTCCCATTTTCTCAGAAAACAAAATTATCTCAGTTCCAACTTATTATAATACAATGGATTTTTACCCTATAATTGGTATGGTGGTATGTTACAATAAGCACTGGTCTGCTAACCACAAGGTTGACAATGTAAGCAGCTCTGGCACCATAGTGGTTATGAGTTGGCCTACTAACCTCAAGGTCAGCAGTTCTAAACTACCAGATGTTTCATGGAAGAAAGATGAGGCTTTCTGCTCAAGTAAAGATTTATAGCTTCAGAAACCCTATGTAAGATCACTATGAGTCAGAACCAACTCCACTGTACACCACCAACCAACCACCAGCCCCTCCCCAAGAGATAGAAGAGTCTGTCCACTCCTGAAAAGATTGACAGCTTCAGAAATAGGATTGCTATGAGTTGGAATTGATTCAATGGCAGTGGTATGTTGTTGTTCATTGGTGTGGCATGTTGTTTGTTGTTGTGTGCTGTTGAGTTGGTTCCCACTCATAGCAACCCTGTATAAGATTTCCAAGCAGTAGCTGGTGGGGTTGAATTGCCAACCTGTGGCTAGCAGTCCAGTGCTTATCTTACAGTGCCACACCAGTTAGCAGTGAGGAAAAGACAAGTACAGTTGAACGTATAGAAAGTGAACTCAAACCCAACTCATAGCCACCGAGTAGATTCCAATTTATAGTGACCTTAAGGACAGAGTAGAGCTGCCCCATGGGGTCTCCAGGTTGTACATCTTTATAGACACAGACTGCCTTATCTCTCTCTGGCTAAGCAGCTGGTGTATTTGAACCATAAACCTTTTGATTAGCAGCTCAGTGTTTAATTCTGTCTTATTAAGGTTCCTTCTAGGAAGTTAAGAGCAAAAAATTAGCCTATGGGTTTGCATGATAATACATTGTTTCTGTTAAGTGCCATCGAGAAACTCCTAGGAACTCTTAAACAAGAACACCTATATAATCTATCTTGATCCTCAGTACAGGCGTCCTCTCCCAAAGAAACATCTGTCCCAGACTTTCCTTTCATGAGTAGTAAGAAGTTGTTCTCAGAAAGTCCGAGACAAAGAATGCTGTCAGACTGTATTATGTTTTCAAAGAACTTGTGCCACACTAGAGAGCACGAAGATGCTACATTCTTAGTATTACTATGTTCTATTGATAGACTTATATTTTCAAATTAGAGGATATATCCAAATGCACATGTTGTTGTTGTTGTTAAGTGCCATCAAGTTGGTTCTGATCTATAGCGACCCTGTACAGGGTTTCCAAGGAATGGTTGGTGAGTTTGAACCACCAGCTGATCTTGCAGTCAAACCGATCTTGCAGTCCAGTGCATTAACCCACAGCACCATTCCATTACTTCAAAAATTAAGACAGAGGTTTCTGATTGCAATAGCAGTTAATTATGTTCAATTGCAATCAATTAATTGGTTTGCCTTAATTTAAATCACAATGCAAAATGCTGATCCCATTTTACTCTATTAATTGTGCTTTTATAGTGTGACTTGCCTTGTTAGGAATTTCACTATACCACTGTTGTTGTTGTTAAGTGCTTTCGAGTCAGTTCCGACTCAGAAACCCTGTATAGGGTTTCCGAAGAGCAGCTGGTAGGTTTAAACTGCTGACTTTTTGGTTTGTAGTCCAGTATTCATACACAACACCACACTTTCTAACAAAATTGTTGTTAGGTGCCATGGAGTCAGTACTGACCCATAGTGACCTTATGCACAGCAGAACACTGCCTGATCCTGGGCCAACCTTACCACTGTTGCTATGCTTGAGTCCATCGATGATCCCACTTGACCAATCCATCTGATTGGGGGTCTTCCTCTTTTTCTCTGACCCTCACCTTACCAAACATGATATCCTTCTCCAGTGACTGGTCCCTTCTGACAATATGTCCAAAGCATGAGAGACAAAGTGTGACCATCTTGGCCTTTAAGGAGCACTCTAGCTTCACTTCTTCCAAAACAGATCTGTTGGTTCTTTCGGCAGCCCATGGTACTTTCAATATTCTCCTCCAACACCATAACTCAAAAGCATCAATTCTCCTACATTTTCCTTATTCACTGTCCAGCTTTCACATGCATATGACATTATCGAAAATACCATGGCTTTGGTCAGGCACACTTTAGTCCTCAAGCTGACATCTTTGCTCTTCAACTATTTAAAAAGTTCTTGTGCATCAGATTTGCCTAATGCAATACCTCTTCTGATTTCTTGACTGCTGCTTCCATGAGTGTTGATACTTGATCCAAGAAGAATGAAGTCCTTGACAACTTCAATCTTTTCTCCGTTGATAAGAATGTTGTTTATTGATCCAGTGGTGAGGATTTTTGTTTTCTTAACATTGAAATGTAATCCATAGCGAAGTCTGTGATCTTTGATATTCATCAGTAAGAATTTTAAGTCCTCTTCACTTTCAGCAAGCAAGATTGTCTCATCTGCATTTCACAGGTTGTTAATGAGTCTTCCTCCAATCCTGATGCCACGTTTTTCTTCATAGAACCAAGCTTCTCGGATTATTTGCTCAGCATACAGATTGAATAAGTATGGTGAAAGAACACATTCAGTGTTCCCATGTTCTGTTTGAACAACTGCAGCTTGGTCCATGTACAGATTCCTCATGAGCACAATTAAGTGTTCCGGAATACTCAGACTTCGCAATGTTGTCCAT